GGGTGGCTGGTTTTTCAATTGGAATTGCTTTCTGAAGGTCTGAACAAAACCTTTGATGGGTAAATGAGAACCTAAACTTATTTGGCACTAAAGATAAGGGGCACATCCTCCTCCAGCTCTAACCTTGGGTATTCTTAGGCAACTAAGAATCTCTGTAGAGGTATCAGAGGTATCCCTCACGATGTACAGGAGCCCCATAGGGAAGTCCAATTCAACTGTAATTAAATAACTGACTCCTGCCCTAGCCAGTTTGACTCAGGCCCTGGCCGGGTACTCAGTGGTTAGAGCATTGGCCTGCAGCCTGAAGGGATTCCAGTCAAGGGCACGTACCTCAGTTGCAGGCTTGATCCCAGCCTTAATCAGGGGCGTGCAGGAGGCAACCAATTGATGTCTCTCACATTGATGTTTCTCTCTGTGTGTCTCTCCCTCTCCCTTCCACCCTCTCTAAACATCAATGGAAGAATATCCCTGGGTGAGGATTAAGAACAAAAGTTAATAATTGACTCATGTGGGGATGTGCACGTAAAGGTTGGTTTGGTTGCCTAGCGCTCTCAGTCCTCATGGCTGTATTAGGCAGCCGGGGAGAGAAATGAAACAGATAAGAGTTTGAGATGACTCAGGAAGTGACATCCCCTTGGAGCTCACCCACAAGCAGCACACAAACTTCAACCCCCTACACAATATCCCTAGAAATTTTGTTCAGACTCTACAAATCTCAAAATAAAATTAACATGAGAAATTATGCCCCTAAGGGTGGAAACTCCCAGCCTCAGCTCCCATTAATACTCCTGCGGATATACAATAAATAGGAAGCCTTTAGCAATCATGATCGCTAAAACTTTATCTTACATAATACAAGCATAAACTTTGTGTTTCGAGTACTCACAACTGTAAACCTACTTTGCCCCACCCTTTATTCTCAGGGCAAGGAAGGAAATCAGCATTGAGAGTTTTGATAGCGGCCTGATTCTCTGCCCCTGTAAGTTTAAAATTGTCTCATGGGTACTGTAGAATCTTAACGCTGGAAAGGGGACTGGAGGGCCATTTCCCCCGCAACCCACCTTGAGGCAAGTAAGCAACGTCGTTGAAGTTCTGTTTTAGCGGAGTATCCCACCACCGTCCTCGTCTGGGGATACTTTCCACAACCTGCCTTACTTTTCTCTTCATGTTGAAGGGTAAACCGTGGAACCTGAAGCAGCATGAGCACTCGGCCTTACGGGACCACATGCTTCTCATTTTAGAAAAGAACTTCCAATTAGAAGAACAGGTAAATGAATATTCAAGGGTTCAAATATGAAAGGCGGGCAGCAGAATTGCTGGGATTTGCAATTCTTGGTGTTCTTATATTCTGTTTCAGTGTAAGTCGACCGGAGGTAGGTCTTTTTCTATGAAGTGGCCAGACAGAGTCATAGGATTGTAGAACACGAGAAGTGGAAGATGCCTTTGAGATCCTCATTCAACAGAGGAAGTAACTCAAAGTTTGATGTGTTTGTAACTTGTGTCAGGATTCGATCTCAAACCCATGTCCCACAGTCCTGTCTGCAGCCTCTCCACACACCTTTTAGTTAATGATACCTGGCACCTAGGAGGTGCCTAGGAGGTGTCTGATGTTTTAAATGAAGCCTATATTACCGTGAAATAGCAGTTGACAATCTCTTCTAGGCACTGTGGGTTTATGTATTTTGTAGTAAGTCCTAACTCCTGCCTTTGAGAAGCTTTGCAACCTGATAAATGCCCACGTACATATTTAGTTCACTGAGTTGCGATTATCAAGTGAAAGTATGTGTGCAGATGATGATTTTATTGAGTAATTATTGTAAGAGTTAATTGTCTTATTAGCACATCTCAGAGGATCAGACTTTTCAAGCTCACGTAGGGAAGAACACCATCTATTGCAGACAGGGAGCTGGATTTTCTCTTATCGATTATTTTATGATGTCTGAGTTCAGATTAAAGTAGGTGTGTGAGTTCTAGGGTCAGATCCCGGAGAAAATTAGAAAGACTGATCAACCTGTAACTTTGGTAGAAACCATGCTGCCTAGTAGCCATTCCCAAGTTCTTTCGATATCATTGCCTCATTCATCCATCCATTCATTTAACAAACACCTCCCACAAGTCAGATACAGTGTTAGTTGCTAGGAACACTGAGTTGAGGAAGAACTCACAGAAATGTAGACAGGCAAGTTGCCGAGCCTCACAGGACATGCTGTGGGGGTACCCTGTGTCTGGGTTCAGAGGCTGCCTCAGTATACTCCAGGGGAGTTGGGAAAGGACATCAGAGTTACATCTTGAAGGAAGAGAAGGTCTGTCGGTTAAAATGTTGTGGAAAGAGGACATCCCAGAAGGGGAAAGATTGCGCCAACACGGGGAGGCATGAGAGAAGCTGATGTTTCAAGGAAATGTGCTTTTGGGGTGGAAAGATACCTGAGTGAGAGACAGGGAATGGCCGGAAGTCTGGTCTGTTGGATCCAGATTGCAGTGGCCTTCCACGTGAGCCAAGACATGTTTGAACACGATGCATTCAGTTATTTTTTCACTCATTAATATTCTGCTAATACTAGAAAGGATGTGAGGGCCAAAAATGTGAACTATGTTTGTCAGTAATAGGGAACTAATGGAGGCTTTTACATTGGAAAAATATTTGGCCAGCTAATTGTTTGTTTGGTTTTAAAAAGTAAGACAGCTGGCAGTCGCATGGAGGATGGATAGAGGGAGAGAAGAGAAGAGAATGAGGACAGCGGGACCAGGCAGAAGGGGTTGCAGTAAACTAGACAGTGTAGCAGTAGAGCCAGAAATTGATGAGCGAGCTCTGTGCCAGAATGCCTAGGTTCCAGGACTGGTTCCCCAGTAGTCCCATGAGTTTGAGGATGCTACTTAACCTCTCTCTTCCCCAATTTCCTTATTTGTAAAATGGGGTTGTGGGAGGGTTAAGAGGTAATGTATTTAAGCTCTTAGCACAGCATTTCAATGTTAGGTGGAGACAAGATGCTGGAAGAGGTGCTGGTGATGGGGAAGGATCGATCAAGGCTGTGTCAGTGGGGATGGAAAGAAGGTATTGGGAAACATTCAGAGATTGGATTGGGATGCTGCAAGCTTAGAAGGCAAGGAACATGGTAGTGGTCAGGAGCAGGTTAGATGTGAGGGTGGGGAGACTCCTGAGTTTGCTCTTGTTCAGGGAGATAAGCCTGGTGCATAGGTGGAACTCAGCTCTCGGGATCTTAGTAGATTTTGGGTCAGAGATCAGATGGTTGTTGCAAGCTATTTGTGCATTCATTCATAATGCCTTCTGTGTGCCAGGCACTTTGTGAGTCTTTGGGGATAAAGAAATGAGATGTAGCACCAACAATTTAATGAAGAAAAAAACCCCTAAATAACAACAGCAATAACAACAAAAAGCAGTAAGAGTAATGAAGGTAAGTTATACAGTAGATTATGGTCAGGGTGTCATGGAACTTATGAGGTGGCCTGGGTAGGTGGTCCTAGTAAGGAAATGTAGTCCTGAGAGGATATGCTCTTAAGTGGAGGCTGAGAAAGCAGTACTTTCTAGATGGAGGAGGAAGTGTCTGAGAGACCAAGGCTTAATGGGAAATAGAAGTTGTGTAGTCTCACTGGGCAGGGCACATGTGAAATGTGAATGGGCATGAGGCTGAAAAGGCAGCCAGGGAAGACTGTAGGGCCCTCAATGGCCTGTAAAAGGCCACTAGAGATAGGTAAGTGGGGGTGACAAGACCAGATCTGTCTCTTCATATTATTGTGGACACCATATGGAATATGCATTGGAGAAAAAGATTAAAGACAAGAAGCATTCATTCACTCATTCAACAAATATTTATCAGGCACCTACTGATGCCAGGCCCGTTGCTGGGGTTACAGTGGCCATGGGATCCATGCCAGTCCTGGCTCCCATAGACACCCTTTTGGCACATGAGTGAGGGAGAGTGTAGGACCAATTAGGCCACCGTTGTAACAGTCCTGGTGGTAAGTTATGAAGGCTGAAACAAGATGAGATGAAGTGAGAAATGGATATTTTGTTTGTTTGTTGTGTGTTAGGAATTTAAGTTGGCAAGTGTTGCTGAATGAGTGGATATGAGGGTGAGAGAAGAGTTGTCTAGGTCACTCTTAAATTTTTGGTTATTTCTTTCAAATAGATTCTGAATTCTGAGAGAGTAGTGCATTTTGCCTACCACTGGTTAGCTCTGTGTTGGCAGATTACTTTAAACTCTCTGTTCCTCTGTTTTGTCATCTGTAAATGAGTGAATGAAGAGAACCAGTTCAGTAAATTCAGCCATGTGATGTCACTATCATTAGATGAACCATCATAGCGGGTTAGGCATAGAAAAAGCTGATGAGAAATCTGTGGATCAGGTCTTTTTCAAATCTCCTGCAAATATTTTCCTAGAATTATGTAGGAATCTACCTAGAAATATTTTCCTAGAAATATATACATACACACACACATAGATATACACACATATATATAGTTTTCCTCAAAACACTTTCTTACCTACAATATTTTCCTAGAAGTATATTTATTTTAATTTGTATGCATGCATTTAAATGACCTCATTCACATTCCTGTTACTAGATTTCTGACTTGTATAAGAGCCTAGAACGGAAAGAAAGTAAAATCCAGCAGCTAGCAGAAACTGTAAAGAAATTCGAAAAGGAGTTCAAGCAGTTCACACAGCTGTTTGGCAAAAATGGAAACTTCCTCTCAAACATCCAGGTGAGAAATGACCTTGCTATTCATAACCAAGATTTAGACTTCAATTAATTGGCAGTGAGGGTTTCTCTTATCAGTTTTTTTGTTGTTAATCCTCACCCAAGGATATTTTTCCCATTGATTTTTAGAGAGAGTGGAAGAGAGGGAGGGAGGGAGGGGGGAAAGAAAGAGAGAGAGAGAGAGAGAAAGAAACTTTGATGTGAGAGCGACACATCGATTGGTTGCCTCTCGCACACGCCCTGTCTGGGGCCAGAGATCAAACCTGCAACCCAGGTATGTGCCCTTGACCAAAAGTCGAACCTGCGACCCTTTGGTCTGCAGGCTGATGCTCTAACCACCGTGCACGCCAATCAGGCCTCTCCCTTTGTTCTTTTCAAACCAGTTGAGAATAAGCTGCATATATTGTGGCATTTTACCCTTCATACTTTAGTATGTATTTTGTAAGAATAAAGATCTTTTACAGAACCCCAGTACATTTAGCAACATCAGTAAATTTAACATTAATTCTTTTATGTCATTTATGGCATTTAGGATTTTAATTCATGTTGGGCCAATATTAGTCACTTGGTTCATTGAGAACATCTATAGTTCTGCATTTTATAGTCAACAAAGTGAAACTATTAATTCTCTTGGGTAGAAAATGCTTTAAATACCACTCAGATATAGCAAAATTATTTGTAAATCATGAATGTGAAATAACCATAAACAAATTCCTAATGAATAATGTCTTTATTGTGATTATAAAATAATAACATTTATAGTGAAAAAGACATGTGGTATGGGCAATAGTTTTGAAATTTGGATCCAAGAAGATGCAGGCCATATAGTTTACATACTTTGTCAGCACACTGTGTGTGTGTAGAGAAAAGGAAATGCATTATATGTTACCATTTAAATTCTTTTTCTAACACAGTGAGAAGTCAGAATTCAAGCATTGGGGAGGGGAACTATAGTTTTAATTGTATTTAACCTCTTCCGTTTAAAGAGAGCAATCAGAAGGCCAGGCCTCATCTCAGGGCACTTGTGTACACCTGTAGTGCTCAGGCCAGAACAGGTGGCTGACTTCCAGCTCCTTCTCTGCCTTCTCGAAGAACAGAAGTGAATCCGGAGGGTAGCTTCTAAGAAGGCAGTGATAGGTAAGAGGAGACACAACATGAGACCAGAGATCTAAAGAGAGGTTAGATAACTAAGTGGAGAGAAATTGAGAGAGGAGTAAAAATCAGGTGAGAAATTTAAAGATTTGGAACAGGAGCTGGGGTAGAGAGGAGGAGGAAGAAGAGGAGGAAGATATAGGTGGTTAATCTCTCTGCATCCTCATTGAATTTTCTGTTTGGACTATGTAGTTTTCATTTCATTAATTGATTAATATGAAATGTTTGAATTGAAAATTGCATCTTGATGAATTACTAAGATATCAATTGACTAAGATATTAATGTCCATTTTGTACTGAAAGGTTCTTGCCAGTCACATTGACAAGTCGGCTTGGCTAGAAGCTCAGGTGCGTCAGTTATTACAGATGGCAAACCAGCAACAAAATAAATTCGATCTGAGGCCTTTGGTGGAAGCGATTGATACAGTGAAAGAGAAAATTACCCTGCTAGAAAGCAATGATCAAAGATTAGGTATGTCTAATATTTTATACTTCCCTTTTGATGACTCTCTTGTCTGCATGTGCTCATGAAACAAGCAAACACCTGGCCAAATGGAGTCACAGCTGTGCAGGAGAAACTGGTTGAATCTGGTATTTGTGAAACAGAGCAGCATGATATTCTGGCTACTCAGGCAAAAATCATGATGAGCCAAAATGGGGGCCGAAAGAGGCAAAGGGTAGAAAAGGGCCAGGAAATGCCAAGAACAAGGGAATGATGGCTTTTAATTGAGAGTGGAAAATAATGAGAAAGCTAAAAAAAACGTGGTTGGAACACTGTTTGAAGTGGAAGCATACCTTGGAGATACTGCGGGTTTGATTCCAGACCACTGCAATAAAGCAGGTATCGCAATGAAGTGAGCCACAGATGTTTTGGTTTCCCAGGACATATAAAAGTTACATTTACACTATACTGTAGTCTATTAAATGTGCAATAGAGTTGTCTGAAAAAAAAATAACGTACATGCCTTAATCAAATAATACTTTATCACCAAGAAATGCTGTCATCTGAGGCTTCAGTGAGTCGTCATCGTTTTGCTGGGTGAAGGCTCTTACCCTAGTAACATCAAAGATCGCTGATCACAGATCACCATCACAAATGTAATGAAAAAATTGGATATATTGCCAGAATTCCCAAAATGTGACACAGAGATAGGAACTGAGCAAATGCTGCTGAAAAATTGGTGCCGTGCCGATAGACTTGCTCGAGGCAGCGTTGTACAGAGAAACATAAGAGGGTTTGGTTGTTTAAAAGCATCCCGGTTTGAAAACGGGGGGCTCACAGGCTCGCACACGTTAGTTGAATGCTGAGTGTCTTCTCTACACGCGGGTGAGTTTCAGGTCAAGAGGACACATGCAAGTTTGCTTGGCGCCACTCTTGCCAAGACATGAGATCCACGGAGTTGCTATTAGTAATACAAATGGTCCATTGGCGGACATCGAATTCACTTCATCTTTAGGATGTCAGGATTTTATCGGTTCTTTTCAGATAGCAAAATTCCACTTTGGGCAAATTCTAAAAACAACTCAGGCCTTACAGCAGTTTGTTTGTTTGCAGTTGTTCTGGAAGGGGAGACGAACAAACACGACTGTTTGTTTGTTTGTTTGTTTGTTTGTTTGTTTGTTTGTTTGTTTACAGTTGTTCTGGAAGGGGAGACGAACAAACACGATGCCCACATTAATATTCATAAAGCACAGCTGAATAAAAATGAAGAGCGATTCAAACTGCTGGAAGGCGCCTGCTACAATGGAAAGCTCATCTGGAAGGTGACTGACTATGCGATGAAGAAGAGGGAGGCGCTGGACGGGCACACGGTGTCCATCTTCAGCCAGCCCTTCTACACTAGCCGGTGCGGCTACCGCCTCTGCGCCAGAGCCTACCTGAACGGGGACGGGTCCGGGAAGGGGACGCACCTTTCGCTGTACTTTGTGGTGATGCGAGGGGAGTTTGACTCACTGTTGCAGTGGCCGTTCCGGCAGAGGGTCACCCTGATGCTTTTGGACCAGAGTGGCAAAAAGAACCACATTATGGAGACCTTCAAGGCTGACCCCAATAGCAGCAGCTTTAAACGCCCCGACGGGGAGATGAACATTGCCTCCGGCTGTCCGCGCTTCGTGGCTCACTCCACTTTGGAGAATGCCAAGAACACCTACATTAAAGATGACACCATCTTCTTGAAAGTGGCAGTGGATTTAACTGACCTGGAGGAGCTTTAGGCACTGTTTCTGGGGGGATACAAGGCCTTCTTGGGTCCAGGGCCGTGGAGGAAATCTTTGGTTAGCCCGGTGACTGAATTTCAACTCAGTCCACATTTGTATTTGGCCTTTGCCCTTAGCATTTGAAGTCAGTTTAAAACTTTCTAAGTGCTGTCTTCTTTTTACATTTAACTCTTTCCCAGTTTGAAAGTTAAAGTACTTAGGATATCCTCTTATTTATATTTTTCTATCTCTTGAAAGTTTATTGAAAGCAAGGTCTGGGACATCTCTTTTTTGCTGGTGCTTAGCATGGGGTCTGAGGGTAGGCACTCTATGTTAAATGTCAATGAGGACACAGGTGTAGAATTCCCAGTTGAAAATGCTTGGTATTTGGTCTGCTGGTTCTAGACTTGACCATACGCCTACAAAAGCCATCTTCTAAGGGGGATTGTTCCAGATCAGTAGATGGATGGTGTAATTACAAGACAGTATGTCCAGTTGGAACAGACGTTTTTGAGTCAGATCCTGAATTACTACACCTCTAAATATTTTCATGAAAGTCACCAGTAGTCAGCAGACACAATTTTTGAAGGCTGCATAAGTGGTGACAAGAGTAGGCATCTTCATTCTCCCTGCTGAAATAAAGAAGAAAGTACCACATAGCATATAAAAAAGGAGATATAAACATCCAACTAAAGTCCAGATTTTGTTAGGGTCAACCATATGGAAAACTGTTTTTATAGATCAAAAACAAATATTAAGAGTTTAATAAGGTTCAACTTAATGTATATATGTGTATGTATATGTATACAAATAACTTAAAAGTATTTGGGTAATAACAGTAAATTAATGTGAGGATGGGCAGAATTTAGTATATGATGGAGAAAATGTCATAAATGAATGAGGAATTTAAAACCTAGGGAAGACATCATTACAATTTCCCATGGGTGTCAGAAGCACTACCACCCAAAACTGATTGCTAAAAACAGTTCTCCCATTCTTCTTGAGAAAATTTTTATTTCATAGATTGGTATGAAAATGGGTATTTATATAAACTTGTGACTGTTCTTGTTGCAATCCTAAGTATTCTGTGAAGAACAGAAGTGATTATGTTCTTATCATTTTTCTGTATGGGTCTGAAGGTGTATATTTAAGTCAAGATTGAGTCCTACTGACTCTTGATACACCTGAGGTTAACAAAAAATACCCAGTTTGCCTGAGCCCTAATTCGTTCTCATGCAACTGAGCACCACGCCCCTCCCCCCCCCATGTGGCCTGGCTCCCTTGATCCTGCAAGGACAAGTGCCACCAGCTGAGGGACACTCAGCGCAGCTCACTCAGGCGATGACCATGCACCTTACAACTGAACAGTTAACCTGAAGAAGAGGTATGATTTATACCCGTGGCTTCTGGAATAACTGAAACTTCCTTAATCTCTTCTGTGAAATTTTCAAGATGCTAAAAAACTAAAGTGCAGAAATCATCTCAAAGGGTTAAATTCAAAGAAATAAGTTCACAATAGAAACACACTCAAGAACTACACTGTAGCTGCTGGTAAACCCTGGTACAGTCGATGGTCAACATGTCAGATCAGACAAACTCAGGAAGGCTTCCTCTAGACCACACAGGTGGTTCTCTGTGTTCGTTTTCAGTGTTTCTAATCAAGTTCAAGATCACCCCGTATTCCTGGGGAGTGGGAGATCATATTGTTGTAACTAGTTTTAAGTAGATGATGTGAAAAACATTTTAAAGTGAATTTATTAAAATACTAGTTTTGTGTTTTATCCAACTTCTCCACATAAAAAGTATAAGTGATGGCATGGTTTGCTTACCAATTCGTAATCCCTTCATCATTGAAACTGATCACAAAGTGAGGTATTCTAGAGTAAAAAGCCCTCCTTTCCTACAAAATAAGAGTTATGATTTTTGTGCCGGGAGCCGGTCCATCCTTGCTGCCGGTCCCAGTTGCTGCAGGGAAGAAACATCTGCACAGCATATGTTTCAAGGGACCTGGTGCTTTTATTACAAGGTTATTCTCTGTGGTATGACTGCTCTGAGTCACACTGTGGATGAGCCTACCATGTCCATGAACATGGGATGCTACAATGTCCAGTAGCTCCTTGGACTGAAGAAGACTGAATGCTGCTTGGATGGGTCTGTAAAAATCACTCTTCTTCTGCTAGACATTTTCTATAAGCTTTCAGTCCTTTTCCTGAATAATCAGAGTTAAATTACGTCTGGCAATAGGATCTGGGTCTATGACTTTGACCACTTCTAAGACACATGTCTTAAGAGCTTATTAAGAGCTATATTTTCCTCAATACAAATTTCTTTGAGCTAATTCAGGGGTGGGCAAACTTTTTGACTCGAGGGCCACAATGGGTTCTTAAACTGGACCGGAGGGCCGGAACAAAAGCATGGATGGAGTGTTTGTGTGAACTAATATAAATTCAAAGTAAACATCATTACATAAAAGGGTACGGTCTTTTTTTTTTTTTTAGTTTTATTCATTTCAAACGGGCGGATCCGGCCCGAGGGCCGTAGTTTGCCCACGGCTGATCTAAACTTAGAAGTCCCACAGGGACTTTAAAGTCAGCTTTACTAAAACTGAACTGGAAATCTTCCCACTCTCCACCACCGCCAACCTGAATCCTCTGTGTATTCTACCCCAGATAATGACATCACCATCCAAATGAGAAGTTTGGACACTGTTCTAGATTCCTCCCTCACTGTCTCCATCCAATCACCCACCCAGTTCTGCCAATATGACCCCCAGATAACTTTTTAAAATTATTCCTAACTACTTACCCTTACTGCCTACTTTTTAAAAAAGGTTATCTACCAGAAACCTTCAAAAAACATGAACAACATGTAATATGCAATCCAAATAACTTCTGGAAAGAACTACCCGAGGCCACTATACAGTGGCACTGAATTTAGGGGGAAAGCCAAAATTGGTATTTACAGATAGATGAATTCTTACCTATAAAATCCAAAAGAATTGGTTCAGCTGAATGACCAGACAGATCAACATACCAAAACACAAATTATCCTAGGGTCCATTACGAAGAGTAAACTAAAACAGCAACAAAAGCTGGTAGGTAAAAACCTAAAGGAAAATGTGCAGAACAGCAAGAAAACTGGAAGACTTCACATGAATAAACAAGGGGAGACACCAATTCATGGAGCAATAACCACATTACCAGACGGCCTCAATATTGTACTGGTATCAAATCTGGGCAAATTAATCTACCAAAAAACAAATCCCGGAAAACTATGCCACGTGGCCACAATCTGTAACAGAACCTGAAATGAAGTCACAAATTCCGGGAAAATGCTGCCATTTGTTGACACTCTTATAAAATTTGGCCCCACGATCTGAGGTTCTGGGCGATGTACGCGGAAACGCTCAGCAACGAGTCAAACCCCAGACATTAAGCCAACCCCGTGCCCACAGGCCGGACTGTAAGCCCTGCGCCCTGCGCCGGAAGAGCCACGTGAGCCCCGCCCCTATCTGTGTCGTGGGCCCCCTGACATGCGC